TGGAAAACACTAAAAAAGCGGCGAAGCTGCCTTTGAACACGTTTACAACATATTTAAACGAGACGAACTTGAATAAACCTTCTGATAAAACAAATTAGCGAAGGTTTGAAAAATGTTTTATAATGAAAACTTTAAATGTAATTGACATTATAGCAATTCATGATGATAGTAAGCTGTAAATTCACGTTACAACGACAGCTGTTGAGTACATGTAATCTTAGTTTACATTGTGCCTAGTGACGTTAAACATCATGAGTTGTAAATGAAAAACCTGAAGATCTTCCATTATTTCTCCTTCTTCACGTTTCATTTTAAGTTTCTCAATCTGAACAAGTTTCTTCTTAAACCATGAAGTTGTTTCTCTACTTGTTCTCGTGATGTTTCATGAGTGTTTGTGGATGCTGAAGTGGAGTCTGTGTTGGTTTCAAAATCAGATTGTTCGACTTCCTCCTCCGGTCTACGTTTGAAAATGTTATTGTCAGGGGATGAAAATATCGCGTCTTTTGAACGAATTTGGGACTTTTCTTGATCACAAACAACGCTCTTATATCATAGCGGGTTTCGCAGCGGAAGCTCGTCTCGTTCGTCTCGTTTAAATATGAGCCCCAAAAAATTAACATACTCATGAAATTAAAACACGCAATTATTGACGGACAGCCAATTGTTTGGATTTTGACTGAGTAGAGTTTGCTTGTACTAAATTTATAAATTTGTTCAGCCAACTTTGAAAAAGTAAATTATGACAGGAAAAAACACAGGTTCCAAACAAGAAGAAGTAAACGACCATATTCAAACACAATATGAAGAAAGAGAGAAAGCTACGTATTCAGAACCAGTCGTGAGGAAGCGAGGAGAAAAATACTTGTCTTATGTATTATGTATACTTATCGCTATAGGAATATTTGTGTTCAGCTTTTTCTACAAAGAGAGCACAGCGTATACAGAATTAAAGGATATCACTGAAAATACTTTGAAAGCAATCAAAAATGGCACACTTGTCGTCTATGTTGAGGAAAAAGAAGATACGTATCCAGTGCAGTTTAACATTGGTATCGGATTGCTATCCTACATCTTGGTAACGTTCGTCAATCGTGTTATTCAGGTAGTGGATGAGTTCCGCCAGTTTCGAAGTCGTTACAAAAAGAACATTCGTAAAATTTTGAGTTCATGTTTTAGTGGAATCTCGTGGGTGGAGTTATAGTGCTTTTGTTTCTAGGTGGTGCGTTCGTGGCAACTGGTCGAATTTTGAGCGGAAAGGAACCAGTGCACATCGAAGATGCCATAACTATAGCTTGTGCAATCGGCGTCTATCCACTTGTCGCTCATCTTCTAGGTTTAAATGCTCTGTCAGAAGCAGAATTCTCGAAAATAGTTGAAGAGAAACAACTTTATCCTGCCTATACACTGGCGTGGAACTACTATTTTGAAGTTTTGCAAAATCTCTTACCCATAGTCAATGAAAGATTTACAGAAGATTTACAAAAGAAGCAACGTCAAGATAACGAAGATGCAGAAACTGACAAAAGACCAACAGAATGTAAAGAATACATAGACTCAAAAAAACTGATCCTGATTGTTCCACACGATTGCAGAACTTTTCAAAACTTAGAACAAATCGATTCAAACTTCAAAAAACTATATGATGTTGAAGGCAAGGGGTACAGTGTTCCTCTTTATAATATGATATACGGTGACGAACAATACAAACTTCTCCTGTTGTACGTCTCACAACCATTAAAGACACTTTATAAGATGAGCGGTGTTGAACGAGTTAAATGTTTGACTGAAAAACATCTTGAAGAGCAAGTGGAACTTTTTTGTAATACTTTACAAGACGAAATCCTCAGTAAACCATTGAACGAAGACTTCAAGGAAAAATGCGTTGTTTTACTATTAAAGGCTGACCATGAAAGAAGTTTGGGAAATGGAGGGCTTGTTGAATCGATCATAAAGCTTAGGACGTGACGAAGATTCTAGTGGTAGAAAACATGATCAATGCATTGTAGTCCTAAAACCACCTCCAAAACATTTTCTTTGCTAGCGAAATCTAAAGCAGAAAAGACTTCCCACTAAAACAAGGTATACTATGCTACGTTCAGTTATGTATATACATAACTGCTTTTAAGGAGTTGTAAGTTATGCAAACCTAACTCAACCTAAATAAGTAAACGGCGACAGGCTTATCAAGATTATTATTCCATTTATATCATTTTTACACACGAGTTCCTAACTCTATTAAGTGTCAGATTTCCATGTTTTCATTAATTTAACCAAAGTCTTTACTATTTTGTATTGTGCCAGAATTGAAACATCAAATGTTCACTTGTCACTAGCTCATTCTCTATGCATGCAAGATGTCTAAAATATTCAATCCTTGTAAGGATTCAAAAGCAAAGATGCTTTTGATTCTCACTGCTCTAGTCACAGGCAAGCACCATGACTGTAAACATACATACAAGATAACAATAGTTATTAATTAATTTCTTACCCATTTTAAAGTTTGTGAGAATAAAGAAATTCATAAAATGCTGAGTTTGCCTAACTTTTGTTAATATTTTCAGATGAATATTACAAAGACACATCAACAAATAATGAAAAGAACCCCTTCTTCCAAAACATTCATTATCAAGAAAATACAAGAACCCCAAAAGTTAGAACAACAGAAAATGTTGCACTAAAGATACAATCACTCCAAAATATGAAGTGAGCGACAACAGTGAAAATCATTCCTTAAATGAAGAACACGCTGATGACAAACATGAACAACCAGAAAATGTAGAAAGTCTATCAAGCACTAGCAAGTCTCAATTTTTCTACTGAAGCACAAGTTTGTTGTCCAAAACAGCCACAAACCATTAAGAAAGTGCCTAAAAAGCAAAATTATGTTGTCTATGAAGAAGATGAAGAACAACCGCTGATTCAAGCTGAATACAAAACAACTCATGAGGATGATAAAGAACAACAATAATGTTGACAACAAACAAAAGGCAAACAATGAAAGCAACAAGAATGAGAACTCTAAAATCACCCCCTTAATAGAAGCCTCTAAAGTTGAAAAAGAATCAACGGATTGAGGAAGAAATTACAGAAGTTCCAGATCCATTAAAAGTCTAACAATATCAAAGCAACATAGGTGACAAAATGCTGATGAAGTTCATGAAGAAGGTTTTGAAGAAGGTTTTCATGGAGAAGATATTCATCATTTATAAAAAAATATCAATAATGCCTTTTACTAACAGAGCAAACCCTGCCATTTTATCTTGCATTATCCATAATTCCTTTCATAGTCTGGCTGCTAGTAAATGATCCTCAATGGTAAACCACAATGTATCACAATTGATTTCATATTTGTAATATTGATTTCTTTTATCCATTGTCAATAGTTATTTTGTGTTTAGCTAATAGGACAAATTGCAAATAAATTCTAGTTGATAAATTTTGGAGTGAAATGGATGATGATACTGGTTCAAAGGTTCTGATAAAATACCTGTTTATCTTTTGCCTCTTGCAGTTTTGCTTTCAGTTCTTCAACAGGATCTAACAATTTTGTGTTTTCTGTATGAGAATCTTATTTTCATTCTTGAGATGATCAATCACATCATCTTCTTTCAACTTCTGAGCTCTTTCCTTGGCTCATTTTTCTACACATTTTTGATTCTTTTTTGCAGCCTTGCTCCCAACTAAAAATAAGGAAACTAAATAAAATAAGGAAACTAAAAATTAATCTGTCAGCAGTAACAGGTGGTTGGTTGGCAATGACCATTGATTAATGATTGAACTGGCACTGAGGCTGACGGAAAAGTATGAAAATTGAAAACTCTACCTGAAGACATGATGCCTCTTTTGAAAAACTATTACAACAAGGAGCACTTCAAGAAATAAAGAGATATTTAACGATTTCAAGATAGTTCACCATCAAATTTTGCCATATTTATGCTATTGCCTATTTTTCTCCGCTTTGTCCACTAAATTTAGATTACAACCATTGAGTTCTATAAGACCTGGAGGAAACGTCAACCAAATTATAAATTATTAGCGCGCGGCCGCGTGGTCAAAAACATGGCGGATTTTGGTTGTCAAAGTCATGAAAGACGCGGGCTCATAAAATAAAATATTTTTCGCCCACCCGGATTTGACAACCACAATTGCGATTATATAAAATATCAATGCCAAGCACAAAAACTTTTAGAAATTTTATTTTTAAAACATGCTGCAGACTTGTTTGGTATACGGATGCTGAAGTAATGCCAGAAAAGGAAACATTTCATGACACTGGTAAGCAACGTAAGATTGTTTACCATTTAAAGTGTTCAGTGTTTTGTTTTAAGTCAATACTTGAAGTGTGATGGTATATATTTCGTGAATGTTTTTACTCCTAAGTTAAAATTTAAGTTATGTATATCCAGTCTTATTTGTTCTTTACTTAGTCGCTTGCTAGACGAGGCAAAGCAATCAATCTTATTAGATATGCATGTCTTAAAACTCCTTGTTTCAACTGACTTACCTCCAAGAAATGGAGGATTTTTTCATGATATTTTTCTGAAAATATGAAGCAAATATTAAGAATAGAGCTGTATTGAAATCAAATGCAGTGCAGGATTAATTAATGAACTCTTTGGTACATGTCGTACATTAAAAAATACCTGTCTTAAACAGCTAGCCTGAACAATTTGATAGATTATGGACAATCATGATGATGGTGTGTAAAGGTTTGCTTTATGCTAAAAGTTTTAAATACCATTGGGTGTTTTTGTAAATGAATTGTTTGTTCTAGTAAACAGGTTAGTACATCAAAACCAAGATAAAAACTACTTTGTTCAATAATGTGACAATTATGCTCCTACCTTGAAATTTTTGTCAAGAAAAGCTTATGATGACATGCATGAAACATTAAATACAGTACTGCATCATCTGACAAAATCCATAATGCTTTTCAATTCCAGGTGATTAAAAATTCACATAAGATGCATTGGTTGCAATGAAGTTGAATGTGGAAGAAG